GACACAACCAAAATCTTCCGACCCCCTCCTCCCAAGCGAAAAAATGAGTTGTTGTTCAAATGCTTCGGCAATTTGAGACAATCAACTGCAAAAAAAAAACAAAAAAACAAAAAAAAAAACAAAAAAACAAAAACAAAAATAAAAGGGCCTGGGAAGCAACGAGGAGTTGGCCAATATTTCAACCTTTCGATAGAATTACCGCACAGCGGTAAGCACTAAATGGCGGGTGATAGGTTAGGAGAATAAACACGACTGGCTGTTTTCGCTCAAACTCGTTAAAATGAGGAATGAAATGACTATGAGCGCGTTTTTTAAATTTTTTTCGGAGGGCTCACCTTTGTCCCATGTCTGAAATCCTGGCATGAAAACAGTTCGGTCGAGACGCGAGAAGAAGAAAAGCCCGAGCATCATAGCTTTAGCTATGCGGAGAAGACCTGACACGACTCCAACAATGGTGTTGAGGAAAACAAACGCATAGGACATGATAGAGAACAGTCGCCTGAAAAGTGTTTCCAAAAAGAGAACAAAAAGAAAAAAAAAAGGTAAAACAAAGAGATGGTGAACAGCTCCTTATTCTGAGAGAAACAGTATTGAGAAGTAAACGTGGCCCATTTTCAAGAAGTTAAGCGCACATGTAATTCATTTGTGTGTCATGAGGCAATCTAAGTGCGTGCGCAGTTCAGGTTATTTTAGCGGAACTCGCAGCGCGTGAAGCGCAAGCAGCAAAGCCCCCATACTTATATTTACCAATTATTCGCCGAACGCGAGGTGAATATCGTCGAATAGTCCCCGAGACGAAGTCGAAGGGATTATTCGACAGTATTCACCGAACTTGAGGCGAATAATTGTTTTAGTATAGTTTCAGAGCTGAACAACAGAGAAATTTCTAAAATCCTAACATTTTAGTAACATATATAAACCGCGTGAAGCGGTTTATATAGCGTCATATAAGGAACCGCTCGACCAATCAGATTGCTGGAAACTCTTTGCTCAGCTCTGAAATTATACTAAAAATACATATAAAAACTGTATTTTTTAAGTTACCGGTTATCAATCACGACCGAGAAATTCGGGTATTCTCTGTCACGAAAAACATATTGAGATAAGAGAAAGCGCTGGAACAGTCGTAAAATGACGGTCAGCACTATCGATGGCCTGAAAAAAAAAAAAAGAAAAAGAAATTAAAACAAGCGAAAACGAATTAAATACCCGATAGAAAATAATTAAACAGCCTATTTAAGTTATTAATCTACTTACACAAGTCCCTTTGTCCATTTCCAAATCAAATTGCGTATTGTCTGATCAACACTTGGTATGAGAATCAAAAGAAAGCCCAGATTTGACAACACGACGAAACCTGCAAAGAGAAACAAGCGAAAAATTGGATAAACCAAAACAAGAGATATGAAAATATCATCATTTGGAGAATGCATAGCCTGAGAAGTACATTCGCGAAAAATTATGCAAACCCTTCATTCATTCCAACTCGTAATTAGCGAACACTACGTAAAAACGGGAAAAAAAACTCGTATTTTGCTACAATATAGGTTCGCGCCTGATATGCTTTTTTGAATGGTTCTGTATAATTGACAATAAAAATAAATCATTGGAATTATAGCTTTTGCATATCCCTTTAATTAAGTTTGTGCACGCAACAAATACTAAAAGCTCTCAGATTATTTCAGGTTGAAAATTCCATACCTACCAATCACGGCATAGGCGACTTGGTATCCAGTATAACTCAGACCTCTTCCCTTCAAGACAAAAGAACCAGCAGTAAGGCAAAATGTACGTGACCTCCTTTTAATAGTCATCGTTATCATGATCGTGATCGTGACGGTAACATTGATCGTGACCATCATGACTGAATGCAGCCGTGACCGTGACCGTGAAGGTGAAGGTGAAGGTGAAGGAGAAAGTGAAGGTGAAGGCGAAGGTGAAGGTGAAGGTAAAGGCGAAGGCAAAGGCAAAGGTGAAGGTGTAGGTGAAGGTGAAGGGTAAGGTGAAGGGGGAAGGTAAAGGTGAAGGCGAAAGTGAAGGTGAAGGCGAAGGTGATGATGATGATGATGATGACTTTATTTAAACTCGGATGAAAATGAGGCTTGTTAGGCCTCTAGCAATAGAGATGCTAATATACCGAGAAAAATGTATGAATATAATTTACAGAGTTTAAAAATAATATAAGCCTAAATATAAATGATGATATAAATGGTGATATAAAATTACAAATTACTTAGATTTCTTATCTCATTCCTGAAAGGGCCAAATTCATCCATTAATCTTAGCTTATCAGGTAATGCATTCCAAGCCTTAGCAGCAATGTAAGAAGTTGATTTGAGGCCGAAAGTTGTGGTCTTAGCTACAGGTAAAACAAGTTTGTTTTTGCCCCTAAGATTTTTCTTATTTTCTCTTACTTGAAATAAAGATTGAATATACTGAGGCATATTGTTATAGAGGGCTTTAAAAATAATTAAAAGCATATCTTGTTTCCGTCTACAACTTAATGAGTAACCAATCTTATAACATAGACTATCACATCCGTTGGAAAAGTCATTAAACACGTATCTAAGGGCCCTCTCATGTAATCTCTCTAACCGGTCACTATCTTCTTTGAGACAGCTATTCCAAACAGAACTACAATAAGTAAAGTGAGGCATGATAAATGCCCTATATATACGTATCTTTGACGAAAACGAAAGAATGTGTTTGAATCGATTAAGTACATCAATTTGTTTACCTACTTTCTTAATTAACCTAGATATATGACTCTTAAAATTTAACTTATTGTCAATTACAACCCCTAAGAGTTCCACATTATCGGTCGCTTTGACTTGGAAACCATCAATATCCAGTTCTACTAGATT